TTAGCAGTGGCGGTGGTTAGTGGTTAATGATGAAGAGCTCTGTAATTTATGCAAAGGCGTGTAGGGGGTATAAATGCACCATCTTTCCTTCTAAGCTTTCCCTTTTCCTCTTCCTTCAAATAAATAACCCCATTTTCTCTCTCTACATCTCATTTAACTCTCTCTCTCTCTAGTTTCTGATCTTGTATTTCCGCTCTCTCTCTCTCCTTCTTTATTGTTTCTCTTGAATGCTCAGATCACTGTACACCAGTACGTAACAGCCTCAAGTTTGAATAACAAGCCCATAAATTCAAATTTCCAACTAAACAAAAAACAAAAAACAAAAAAAAAAAGTGAACTTTTTTTTTTTTGTTTTTTTTTTAAAATTTCTCCTCGAACCGCTGTTAGAGAAACCACTACAGAAGTTCTTAAAGACAGCCCACAATCTCAAAATGGTATCTTTCTTCATTTTTATTTATTAAATTTTGCATTTTTGCCCACTTTTAGTTCTGTTTACTCAGACCATGGTGTTTGTTTTCTGTATGAGTCTGTTATAGTTATTTATTACGCTGAAATTATGTCTCTGATTCTGTTGACTGTGGGGGGCTCTCAGTCTCAGCTATTTATTGTGTGTGTTTGTGTGTGTTTTTTTTCCTGTGCATTAATGGTGCTGCTTTAATTTCAGTGAAAAAAAATAAAAATTAAAGCTTTGGAAAATAGCTGTAGCAGCACTGTTGTGGTGGCATTCAGTTACATGTTTCTGGGCTCTGTTTTTTGTTTTGATTCGATTCAATTTAATAATTATTTAATTTATGTGTAAAATTATCTGTTCAGCTGTTTCTTGAAAGATAACCATTTTCAAGAAACTCAACCTCGTACCCTAGAAATTTAGGGTTTTTTTTTTGTTTTTTCTTGTTTTTGTGGTTAGTGATTAGTGCTCTGTTTGGCTGATTTTGTAGCTCATGTGAAGAAGAAAAAGAAGAAGATGGATATGTCTGGAAAGAGCTCTAACGTTGAGCAGCCACAAAAGGGGGGCGAAGACCCCCTAAAACTACCACACACCAAACATGTCTTCTTCGGAGTGGCAAGTTGGTGTGATATCTGTCAACGTACCAGCTGAGTCTCAACAAAACCCTGGCGCTTTTTTT